AGTCGGCAAATTTATTTCTAAGTGACATCGCCTAGAAATGACATCATAAATCGACGAGCTGGTGTACATGTAACAGTACTAAGCGACGATGGTACTGTGGAGGTGGCGCGCGGGAAAATCAGCGATGCTAGACAAAGTGGGTATGTACATATTCTCTCCCTTACTTACTCCTTGCTTGCACCAATTCGTAGTAGGAATAACACAATAAGTCAAATCATATTACTAATATTAAGCTAACCCTGACTTTTTTCCAGAATCTTTAATAAGCGGACGATAACGGAAAATCGTGCACTGGTTGAAGTTACTACTGTCTTGATCCCTGCGGCAAAGTTGCAATTATGTGATAGCCAGCCACTTTCGTCATTTGGTGCTGCTCCGTTTTGTATATTAGTGCGTTTGTTGTCACTCCGTCCTTGTTATCAACTTATTAAGCCTGTCGCCACCGTACACAATGAGGAAACACTAAACATATCACAGAGCGTGGATCATCCGGAATCGCAAGCTGGTCAAACTGATCATAGCAGCGACAATGACGTGCAAGCATGGGATATTAATGAAACTGACTCGGAAGACGACAGTGACGATGATATGCCGGTGCCAACGCCATACACTTTAGCTATCGACGAGAGCTCCAAGATTTATGGCAGTCGCCTCCTCGATCCTATTTTACAAAAGTATCGACCACAACGCTTGGAACAAGATAACGCCATCCACACCAGAATCGCTCAAGATGCTTGGCATGCGCTCAAGAGAATCTCAATACCAAAGAAACATGGGTTACGCATAGAATTCCAACGTAAATTAACTGACGCAATTTTGTGAATGGATTCTGGAGATGTTGCAGCTGTTACCCGGGTTCGGCATGAAAAAGGAGAGAGATTTGAATTGGGTATATATCTATATGATTCTCTTTTATTGTGGGCGACAACAAGCTTAATTTGAAATATCAAAACCATGTTATTTTAGTTCGTTGGCGTCGCAAATCTTGGATTAACGAGCGAATACGCCGCGTTGTCCCACCACCATCAAAAATTGTACAAGATGTGTACGATTTATTCATGACGTTTGGACCTCTGAAATGCGCCTCAAGTGGTCGACCGTTATTTGACAAACAGGCCTGGAAAGACGCACGAAATTTGCTACAGCTTATTGACAAAGGATATTTGAGCGATCCACCTGGGACATCATTGTACTTGTTTCAACGACGGGATGAAAATGGTTTGGCAGTATATCAATGTCTAAGGGGAACAAACTCTCTTGAGGGCGGTGTGCACCAAAATTTAAAGAGGCATTTTGGAGCTTTCAATGCGAGTCCGAGATTTGTGGTTAATTTGCTTGTCGAATATCGAACACAACATAATATACATGTAAGTGTATCTCATAGCTTGAAAAAAGTGACCAATTTACTGAACAACTCGAACATTTTCTTATGTGGCAGGTTGGTACGCTGAATCGCACAGGCAAACAATACAAGGGACATTACGATATATGAATGAAGAACAAAATCCAGCTTGCATACTTGCGACGCGAATTGCAGCTACCAAAACATTGGCTTGCTTGGCAGAACACGGATCTGTTGGCCTCGACTGAAGAAAAGTTTGACATTTGCAAGACGAGCGACGAAAGCTTGGATACATATGGCGTGCAGCATTACAGACCATCAATTGAACAGGCCAACAAACGAGATAGTGCAGCTGTGAGAGCAGCATATTTAGCATCTCGTCAAGGCACCCAGTATCCAATACTACCTGTACATACTAAAGAAGAGGTAGCTTTGTTCAACCGACAGATATCTCAATTCTACAACAGTCAGCAACCGAACTCAACGAGGTGGACCGTTTTCGCCAAGTCATGGAACTTGATACACACTGACGGGGGCAATATTTTTTTTTAAGTACCCACAGTATCTGCGCACATATTTCAACAAATGGAGTCAGAACGCGGTGATAAGGAATAGCTTGGAAGGTACAGCTCGCCCACGATCCCAAATACGTGATAACTCTGATCGTACTGCTGAAATCTTGGAGCCTCGATTGAATCTGCCAGCACCGACACTGCCATCCTCAATACAACGTAGTACATCTAGACGACTGCAATCTAGATCTTCTGTCTACCAACCGCTTGCTCCACGGCCAATGCAACAGCAACAACAAGTTTACAGCCAATCTGATTTGTATTCCTTTGCACGTCCACCCATGTCAGCATTACCGCCACCGCCTACTACATTTACACTACAACCGCAACTGCCTCCGCCGCAATTATATCCATCATTCCAAGTGCAGCAGCATATGCACTATAGTCCTACACCTCAGCAACAAGCAATCCAGCCACAACACCAACAACATTATATACGGCAAATGCAACCTAGAGCACCATCATCATCACCATCAAGCATAAGCCGTGCTGATTTCCTCAAAAGCCTACCACCAAAGAAACAGCAAAAATATTCCCAGACTTGTCAAAATGAAGGCTGCACTGATCCACAAAATTGCCCTGGCAGTCAAAACAGATCTCACCCATCATGTAGTGCAAATAATGATAATACACGAAAAAGAAAGAAATTGAACTAGGTACTCAACCACAACTTTATTTTTCCCTATATATTTGTAATAGTTTTTAATACTTTTCTCGCATAAACAAACATATCATCAAATATACACTTTGCACTTGCGTCTAAAGGATTTTCACTAATGTTTGGCGCATCTTGCTTTTCAACTTGGCGTGACACGAATTTCCATTTGGCAGATGGGGGATATAACTTGGCGCATGATGAAAATTAGAATGGCTGACAATGGTTTTTTACTTGGCACTTGGTTTTTTTTCATTTTTGCGCAAGCCATATTTTCAATTTGGAATTGGATGGATTATATTTTGGTACTCTCAAAATTCCAGCATTGACGAATTTCGCCAACCGCAATTTTCGCCTAGTGAAAATTGGCGAAAATTGCGGGTAATTCCCTGCTACATTTTTTTTTGATTGAGTATTGTGTACCACCCGAATAAGCAGTTAAATAAATAAATTTCATCTTCAAAAGTAAAATGGTTTACTCCTTTGATAATAAAGAAAAGAAAAGATTACAAGATAAATATATTAAACGGTCAATGCGAGGTTCTTATTAGTCAGGTCTTCATTGACTCGTGCCAAAAGCATGCTGCAGATTGATGTTTATGACAAATCTGCTGCGCAGCTGTTGCGCAGCTGCTAAGTAGTTTCTGTGCGACAGCGAAATAACTGTCCTCTTCCTTCTAAATTCAAAAGCAGCTTATCTTCGAAATACAAATTTATCGACTGTGCTGCACTCATTACTTCATAGCTCGTCCAAACGTTATGCTGCGCAATGATGACGATGACGAACTTGTCGCGCAGCTGCTAAGCAGTCGCCTTCTTCATTATACAACAGTTTATTTTCTTGAGGCAATAGTTTCGCAGCACATGACCTAAGAAAACGTATAAATATGGCCAGTTCTCTGAGCTAGATACTTCATTAACATTTTATATCTACACTTTCTCGTCGATCTACATTATCCTCTCTCATGTAATCCGAAGAAAACTTATCAACAACTGCTGGTTCCAAGCGTTCTTATGTATTGGTGGAAAGGTCCAACCAAGGTTCCGGTGCTGGTCGCAGACGACATCCTGCCAAGCAGTTTTTCAAGCTCTACGATCGATACTTGGACAATCAAAAATGCAGGGATGGTGAGGCACAATGTCTTGCATGCATTCGAGTACTCGGTGACTATGTGCAAGGAGTTAGGGATAAAAATGCCGCTTTACTTGAGCATCTCAAGGTAAAATAGAAAGATATGCATGAATTATAGCTTAAATGTAGCCTCAAAATCTTGATAATAGAGCTAATACTTTTCTTTCAAAAAAAAAGGGTTGCATCAATTTGAATTCAGATGAAAGAATTATGATTCAGGCCTCAGGTGCTTTCACGTGGGTAGATAATGAAGATATACTTCCTGAAGATTCGGTTAGTCAAGTATCTGGTCTCAGTCAAACATCAAATACAAGACGTAAACTCGCACAAGCATCAATCTCGAAATATGGTGTCGTCGAAAACAGCTTGTGGGTTCAGCAAGCACAGGACAAGGCATTGCGTGCTACTCACTGTAGGAAAATTCTTGTGAATTTTAAATTCTTGTAAACACTAAGTAAAGTAACAAGAATTCTTGTGGATTCTTGTGAATTTAAAGTAGCGATAAAGCGGTCACGCGTTCACAAGAAAATCAAAGCGGTCACACGTTCACAAGAAAATCACAAAACGTTTTGTGGAATACCAAAGCGGTCACACGTTCACAGGAAAATCACAAAACATTTTTGTGGAATATTCATTATATAGATTTTAAAAAATATAGCTTTATTCAATTACATGATACTAGCTAAGGTTTATTGATTGATGGAATACTGGTCGAGCGTATACAGATGAAAACCACCCCTTTCTCTCTCTCTATATATCACATACACTCTCGCTATATATATACGTGTATGTGTGTGTGTTTATACAATAATCAACTTTCTGATACTTTAACTTACCTTTTAATTATGTATATTTTTGTGGGGGGGAGCAGCTCCGAGCCGCTTTGTAGTACGGCGTCGTTTGGTAGACTGCGTGGAGGAAGGAGTAGGGGCAGGGGCAGGAAGAAAAGCAGAAGCGGAGACAGGAAGAGAAGCAGAAGAGACAGGAAGAGCAGAAGTGGAAACAGGAAGAGAGGCAGAAGAAACAGGAAGAGCAGAAGAGACAGGAGGAGAAGCAGGAAGAGAAGCAGAAGAGACAGGAAGAGCAGAAGCGAAAGCAGGAAGAGAAGCAGAAGAGACAGGAAGAGAAGCAGGAAGAGAAGCAGGAAGAGACGCAGAAGCCAGTTCATGTTGTCTACCTGAAAGTTAATATATATTCAATTGTGGTTGCTCTAGTGTAGTAGTTATCATACCTCAGCTTGCTGGATCTGCCGTAGTTATTCCAGCATTCTTGGACGATGTGGCGAGCTGCCCACTGGTCCTAGCAGACAGCAAAATCAATTCCCTGCTTCTTTGCCAGGTTCGTGAAAAGGCTGATAGCCCAGTTGCTATCCTTGCTTTGCAGCTTAGCAAAGTAGCAGGTCGCGCTGTTGTCAGCACGATCCCGCAATCTCTTCTCTAATACGACCACAACACGCTCCCGGATGTGCTTGATGTCCGTCTTGGCTTTGATCAAAGCACCACCTTCAAACTGGTGGTAGCCTTGAAGGAGAAGGTGCTTGACATCATCCTTGTTAGCTTTCTTCACCATCTTCCCCTTGGTATTTAGAGCCACTGGGTGGGGAATGAGGGCAACCGTCTCAGCAAGTTCTGCTTCATCGACAACTGGCACCTCGACTAGGGATTGCGCCGTTAGCAGTTGGTCGAGCTTCTCTAGAATGATTGCTTGATTCGTCTCTACATTGATAAGACGATGCTCCATACGAGTGAAGACTTAGGAGATTAAGGTTAGCGTTGGGAGGTGTTTGGTTAGTGTTTGGGAAGAAAAGAAATAAAAAAAACCTTTGCGGTAATATAAAAGTATTTGTCACCCTGGTAACCAGGTGGTTATAACAAGAGAGTACTGTTTAATCACAAGAATCCACAAGAATCCACAAGAACCACCCAAAAAAATTGGCAACCCAGAGCAGGCAGTGACAGACGTCACAAATTTACAAGAAATCCACAAGAATCCACAAGAATGAGGCCGGCGGGGTCCAAATTCACAAGAAATCTACAAGAATCCACAAAAATTTGGCGACCCAGAGCAGGCAGTGACAGACGTCACAAATTTACAAGAAATTCACAAGAAATCCACAAGAACCACAAGAATGAGGCCAGCGGGGGTCCAAATTCACAAGAAATTCACAAGAACCACAAGAATTTTCCTACAGTGACTGTGTCGGCCAATCTTCATTCCGTTGGATCGAAAACTTAGAGGTCATCGAATACTTGCTCCATTTGAATGATCGCGCTTTGGTAATAAGAAGATGCAATGTTATTATACTTTATATTTTTATGATGTAATAAGATGTAACTAACTAGTACGGCCTTCTTCTAGGCAAATGGAGCCATACCTAAAAGGCAAAACCTATCAACCAAAATTCTTTCACGTGTTGCCGATTCTGCGAATGAACAACTCATTGCCGAGGCTCAAGATATACAAGGCGGAACTCTAACATGCGACGGATGGCGAAATGTCTCCAAGGAGTCGATACTTGGCATAGTCCTCAACACCTCAAGTGGGAGCAGCGTCATTTGGGACGCAAAAGACATCTCAGGAGAGCAAGCAAGGACGCTGGATGTTAATTAAAAATTGGAGACGTTACTTTTCGACGAGAGTGAGCGGATCAAGAGGCACAACATCACGGTCATCGCGGTTGTTACTAATTCAGCGAGTGCCTATGCTGCTGCCCGTTCACAACTACGTCGAAAGCATCAACAGATTATATGGTTGCCATGCTTTGCCCACCAGATGAATCTCTGCATAGCCGATATGTTGAAGGCATTCCCAGACTTGAATTCTTGCATGCAGCAAGCTGTCAAACTCATCGAAACATTCAATCGCTCAACATATTTGACACGAAAACTCCATGACCATCAAGATGGTACCCCAAATAAGTGCTGCGTTAGTCTTCGTCAACCTGCAACAACACGATGGAACAGTTACTTCGATGCTTTGAAAAACTTGCTTGATACGAAGGATTCTTTTTAGGTAAAGCGATCAATATTATGGATTTTAAATATACGTGTACAATGGTTAGCACTCATACTTATTGTTTTGTCTTGACTTAGCTCGTCGTTTCGAATTCTGGATCTGATGCAGGTGCCAAAATACCAGACGAAGTTGCAAACAACATTCGCTCCATGGCCTTCTGGGAAGATATCGATGGAATCAAGGCAATGCTCGAACCATTTGCATTGTGCCTAGATGTTCTCCAACGAGATAATGCCAAGCTATACTACATTGCCACTCAGTTCGCGAAGCTACTCCCCATGTTTACGACTGATAAGATCGACGTGTGCGTAGAAGACTGCCAGATGATGCTGTCCAAGTATTTGTCAAGCGACTGGAAAAAAGATGGTATCAATAGGAGCAACCGCTACTGATTCTGGCCATGTATCTACATCCAACGTACCGTTTGGATTACATCAACCGCTATCCGGAACCTGTACATCCAGAAGCATGCAACAGACGGGGCATCACGTCGAGAATCATTACCGAGTGGGCTCAAATGTACTATAATAAATGGACAGGAAACGAGGCCGAAACCATGCTTTTACAAGTCATGAAGTACGACGATAGGGATTGGCCGCTCGATGATGAAGGCTACATTGGATCCGGTCGCAACCCGGACAAGTTTTGGAAAATGGTGGCTGCCAACGACGAGTCGTGCAAAGAACTTGCTTTTGTGGCGCGACGCTTGCTGGCGATTGGTGTGAACTCGGCCTCGTGCGAGAGATTATTCAGCGACATGGGGTACATCCATAGCACTAGGAGAAACCAGCTTCATTGGCAAAAAGTTCTTCACATTGCCCAAGTTCGTGCCACACTCAAGAAGAAGCACGCCAAGGATAAAGGCAAAGCACCAGCACTTCCCGCACTAGCAAGACTTGATAGCGTTGAAAGCCAAGGCGCCGAGGACGACGAACTTTACATGGAGGAAGAAGACCGGAACCTCCGGAGTGAAGAAGAGGCTGACATGACTCCACGGCAGTGGAATGCTCTTGTTAATGAGTGGTTCTTGGATCTTGATGGTGAAGTTGACGACGAAACAGCTGAAACTCCTGACATACAAGTGCACCCAGCAGAAAACCAATCTTATAAATACAAATTGTCAACACTTTTCACCCCCTCCCTTCAACAGATTTAGATTTTCATATGTATTTCCAAATAAAGTAATTGATTTTTCGCCTCTAATTTTGGCGGGGTTGAAGCTACTGGGGTAGACTCTCATCCAATGATATTAAAAGTTAAGCAACTGCTCTCTGGGTGCAAAGTGTGAGGGTAGCCAATGAGATAACAAGTTAACGGGGGTTGTTACGTGTGCCGATATCTTGTGTTGCCCCTGTGTAGCGCTTGTGTGTGGGTATATCAGTTGGCGTTTTGATTGTTCCTGTCAACAACAGCACTTTTGCACGGGTCTTTCGTCTTGTATTTTTTCTCACTCTATCACCTCCTCATAACGTATTTGACAAATAATGGGTGATTCTACTTCTCGGTCAGATGGAAAACGTCGTCGCGGTAGACCTCTATCATAGGTAGCAAAAATAAAAAGCAGAAATCCTCCTCGGCTCGCGCTCGCGGTCAGACGAGCTTGATGCAATACGTTCCTTCGCGCTACCTTTCTTCAGAACAACGCGACACAACAAGCGCTGAAGCCACAGCCTCACCACCCGATATCAATGAGCAACCAAGCTGTGAAGTTTCCTCCCAACAGGTTGTATCCAGAAAGGGCCACCACATACATATACTTATTGTATCGATTATATAGGCTCGTGTGGATGACGATAACTATACTTTAAAGGACTTGATCGACGAATTAGAGGAAGAAAATCATACTAATAATGATACTGGCGTGGAAAACGAGGAAGATCCCATCCCTGACGAAGCACAAACACTCAATGATGACGACAGAGGATACAAAGAAAAAAGTTTCGGAGTGCTCGCCCAGTATTTCTTAAGTATCCAAGATCGTATCAAGACCAAAGATGGTGGTTATCCAAGGGAATACAAGAATGGAACTTTTTGGATTGAGCCAAAGTCGCCTTATTTTGCACTACGAGACGAAAGTATATTAAATCCCAAGCCATTGTACTTTCCTCGTGTATTTCTATGGTTCCCTCATTTATTGGTTGATCGATTGTACTGCCGCGATCCGAGGTGCTACAATGAGGCGGACGAAAATACCTTTGAAAAAAGCAAACTTGAAGATAAAGGCTTCTACAAGGACCTTATGCACGTCGAGTGGTGGACATGAACAGGTATGAATTATTAGCAGCAACAATCATGGCAAGCCTTTAACAGCGAACTATGTGTTTGAAAGATGCTTTTATATTATGTCAAGACGATATGAATGCAAAACCTGTCATGCCTCATTGGGTGCACACGATGAAAAAATCTTGAAACAGCTGCCCAACGAACTAGCAGCAGAATTTCCCGCCATTTTTTCCTATCGGTGTGCTATGGGTGATAACCCTTAGTGTTATAATTTTAGTGAAATTATTGTTAGTTAAAAAATTGTGAAATTTTTTAATGTGATAAGTTTAAAAATTAAAAACTATATTTATAAATATGGTTTTTTAATTTTGTGATCTTTAATAAAATTTGTAAACTTTAAATATTTTTATGTTTTTTATAAACATAAGAATTTCTTAAAGTGGCGGAACGGTAGTGAGCAAATCCCCTCTCTAGCCGAGACCTACTGGATTGAAGGCTAGCTTGACAGAATAATAAAATATCATAAATTTGTTATTTATAACTTTATTCATCTATCTCTAAGGATCTCATTGACATTTTACGACCATGTATGCAGCACGGTATAGGAGTTGCAAACTTTCAAGATATGCTACAGGAGCTGCACCTCAAACGCCATATCCGACTGCATATCATATACACCCTATATCAAATACATCGTCGAACGAACCCAACTTACAAGGAGACCGAAAATCGCATCAGAAGCTACCCTGAGTTCTCGACATTCAAGGATTCTCAAGGATACGCTGGATACGTTCCTTCTATACCATATTTTCGACTCATATACAATGCTATCATGGATGTTCTTCGGCCAATTATGGACAAGCAGATGGTTACTATTGATGGAGAGATACTCAAGGGAGACCACACATTCAAGTTTTTGAAGAAAGTTGCAAAAATGGGTGACGCACCGACTTTTGGCGCTCTATATACTATATGTAACGAGTATGAGGAGATACGAATGCAATTGCTAGTCCCCACCAAGTCATTATCGCATTTACAGACGCCTTTTCAGGAAATGATGAAAACATACGACATGTACGGGTATAAACCACCGCAGCTATTTTTTACTGACAACGTCCGGGGAGACAAGGCGTTCCTACTTGATAATATCAGCTCATTGAAGAACGGTCTCAAGATTAACAGTTTGACTTTAACTGAATCTACCCGCAACAATCACATATTACACCTGCCAACCTTTATTACTACGCACTACATACGCAATGAAACCGAAGCTGAAGAAAAAATTACGAACACCATCTTGTGTGATATTGATCCACAAACGATTGTAATTGGTTTGGATTGCGAATGGAACTTCAGTCGACATGCTTCCCCTGGCAAAGTGGCAATATTACAGTTAGCATACAAGGTATTGGCTCTGTTCTGTTACACTATCGTTTTGGCAAGTTACAGCTTCACGCTAACAAAATAACTTGTGGTTTAGAGCTACGTCTTTATCCTGCCAA